TAAACAAATGGTCTTGGTCTGCCTAGAACGCAAAAGAAAAATGAATGTGTGAAATGAAGTGTTAAACTATTTCACTCAACTTTGACCGGCCATATCGTGACGCGGGCCGTAATCCCCCCGCTTCTAATTTTGGCCCACGGTCAATCAATTTGGGAATCATTGTTTTAAATTATAGTCGCTCTGTACCTAACAAGAACTGCTCACGCGGAGCTGTTAGAGCGAAAAAGAAAAACACGTACAAAAAAAACAGTGCCTCACCATAAACCTTTTTTATTAATATTTTGGCCCGTTACGGATCAGTGATTTTCGGTCGTGCAGGATTCTGATTGGTCACGCTTACCTTGTCAGCAAATTGGTTAATTCCCTGATAATATGTATGTTTCCCGGCATCTGCTTCCCTGTTGTGTTGTTCAATCTGCGCCTTATTCTGCAACCAAATGTTGTGCCGCCTCTCCTCTTCTTCAGCGGTTTCATAATTCCTTCCTGTGACGTAACAAAGAATTAAAACTTTTTTATTAGGTTTTTGAACCAGGCGCCAAAAATTTTGCCCACCTAGACTGGAGGGCCATGTGTGACGTAAAACGTTACATTTTATGAACAATATTTACAGTGTTACAAAAGCAAAAGTGGAAAACAATAGGCCTCGTGCCAAAACTAAATTTAATCGCAATCTCGACTAATTCCTTGAGCTATTTTTTTTGCTAAGATATCAAAATTGGGGTTTAATTTGGTTGTGGCAGCATCAGGCGTGCCAGATTGAATTACCAAACGGGCCGGATTTGGCCCGCGGGCGGTAGTTTGTCCATGTCAAAGTTAACCAGTTATTCGATTCAGATTCGAGTTGGGCAAAAAATCAATAAATCTCACCAAATTGTTCTTTCCATGCATCCCAATTCTTTTCCCATCTCTCTACTTTAGGCTTGGTATTAGCCGGACGGCTATTAACGGCTCCGATGCAGCAAAGTATCAATATAGTGTAACAATACATCGACATAGTTTTTGCTTGGTATCTGCTACAAAAGCACACAAACCAAAGGTAAATAATACTTTCAGGTACCGAATAACACGATGCTATAAGTCAATAGCGTCAACGCAAAGTGATGCCCGCATATTAAAAGCCTCATTATTTATAGCCTAAGTTCGCCGCTTAAATAACGCAAGGAAGGCGGAATATTGATCATCACAACTTGTTTTCAAGCTTATTAGCTATTATATTAGAAATTTCCGCGCTGGTAAACAATTCCAATGCCAGACAGCTGTACCAAGAAATGTTTACTGCGAGTTGCAATTGCAGGAATAAAATAGAGAAATACCCAAATAGAAGAGTGATTGACATTTGACAATTTTTCCTTCAATATCGAGAAGAGCATTTGCAACATACGGTATTCTGGGAACAACATAATTTTTGTGCAAAACGTCCTAGATTTTCCGACACTTTTGGGTACAAACATAAGTTCATTTCGAGTGCAGACAAAATAAAATAATTCTTCATTTCGTAGAAGTAAACGAGAAATTGAGGGTTTTGTTTTTTTGTGGAACACGCTGTGAAATACTGTTTTAATATGAATCAGTTTAATATGCTGCTTAAGTTACTGTATTCGATAGTTTCAACGGACCCGTAAGCAGTTGTGATCTAATTTGGCAATTAAAAATTTCAACCCCCCATGTGAAATTTCCCGGTTTTCCCCCCCAGGGTCGGATTAACCAACTTGACTCGCGACTCGGGCTGCCCGACTAACCTTCTATCCAAAGTGACGTAATAATACCGTAAATGATGTCATTTGAATGCATTGAAGATTTTATTTGAAGATAAAAACGATTGGTTTTAATGAAAATTACAAGAAGGCAAAAAAATGGTATCTATTTTTCGGCTCACACACACAAAATGAAAGTAAGTTAAATGATATACAACGTCTCCTTAAATCAAGAATAAATTTAACGTTCAAGTTCTACATGAAGTTGAAATTTGTCGAGTGATTTTGTCGCTTGAAGCTTGGAAAAAACAGATGATTAGAGCCTAAAAGTGATGCTGTTGAAAATTTAGGAAATTTGACTTGTTTTTTTGTGTCAGGCAGAGATATATACTCGAGTTGTAGAATATGTCATAACCGAACTAAAAAAAATATTCGAATATTCGAACAGTTGTCCAAATATTCGGAAATTCGAACTGCCGAATATGCAATAACCGAACTGTAAAAGACTCGAATATTCGAAAAGTTATAGTTAACGAATATTCAGAAATTCGAACTGAGGGTTATGGAAGAACCGAATTCAAATAGTCAAAAAGTTAGAATTGTCGAATATTCGAAACTCAAATAAATCACACTTAAGCAAGTCAAAAACAAGTCAAATTTACACGTTTTTAACAGCACCACTCTAAGTACCTATTATTTGTGGCCCAAGCTTAAACGAGCATAATCACAGGATAACTCACTCAGTTGTAGAAGCATTGAATATTGCACTTGTTGACCGCTTGACTTGCTTAAAATAAATATAAAATGAAAAAAAAAATTTTTTTTGACAAGCATTTTGATACTATTGAAAAAGTTCACAAAATTTAATGCCATCCAAAATGCATAGTAAGACATGCACCACTGTAAAGCAATGCTGTGCTTGTGCATGTGTTACTATGCATTCGCCCGAAAACACCAAAAAGCTATTGAATATAACATTAAATTTAATAACATCCAAAATGCATAGTAGGACATGCACAACTGTAAGGTAATGCTGTACATGTCTTACTATGCATTCGCCAGGAAACACCAAAAAACTATTGAAAAAAACATTAAATTTAATAACATCAAAAATGCATAGTAAGACATGGACAACTGTAAAGTGATGCTGTACATGTCTTACTATGCATTCGCCCGAAAACAACAAAAAACTATTGAAAAAAACATTAAATTTAATAACATCCAAAATGCATAGTAAGACATGGACAACTGTAAAGTGATGCTGTACATGTCTTACTATGCATTCGCCCAAAAATACCAAAAAACTATTGAAAAAAACATTAAATTTAATAACATCCAAAATGCATAGTAAGACATGGACAACTGTAAAGTCATGCTGTACATGTCTTACTATGCATTCGCCCGAAAATACCAAAAAACTATTGAAAAAAACATTAAATTTAATAACATCCAAAATGCATAGTAAGACATGGACAACTGTAAAGTGATGCTGTACATGTCTTACTATGCATTCGCCCGAAAATACCAAAAAACTATTGAAAAAAACATTAAATTTAATAACATCCAAAATGCATAGTAAGACATGGACAACTGTAAAGTGATGCTGTACATGTCTTACTATGCATTCGCCCGAAAACACCAAAAAACTATTGAAAAAAACATTGAATTTAATAACATTCAAAATGCATAGTAAGACATGGACAACTGTAAAGCAATTCTGTGCATGTGTTACTATGCTGTAAATTTTCTGAATTTTTCCATAGTATTAAAAAGCTTGTATAAGTTTGAAACGTAAAACTAAAAAATTGACAAAAGAATGATATTTATGGGTTATGATTTTTTATAAATTATGCATTTTTATTCATATTCAATTCTTTGATTAAAGTTATATTATTAATGTAAAACATCTAGGTACTGTCGTTTTGAGGATTTATGGTCACAAAAGTTTCAAGGTTTTTATTGAACCAATTTGGATGAATATGACAAAAATGTATTGAAATATAAGCATAAGGGAGTTATGTAATTCATGAATTTTATGAAAATTGAATTTCTCCGCAATGTATTGCCACTATGGGGTTAAAAGTCACAAATAGCAATTTTATGTCTATACGACCAAGTAATCAAAATAATCGTAAAATTACCTATAAATTTGAAGTCAATACAGAAAAATTAGCATAAAAATCATTTTATAATCATATGTTTGATGCTTTCACTGGTCATTATCAGTCAGAACATGCATGGCCCGCTGTTGTAAAGCGCCGATTAGGCAAGAAACATCTTTGGCCATGCTTCAAATGACTAGTTTTATAGGAACAGCACCGTTTTAACATGCATAGTGTAAGTGAATATATTTGGAAGCTAGAATGAAATAATGCCGAAAAATTATCGCCCGTTTGGAGGAAATTCCAAAACATGAGACCCGATCGGGAGACAATATATAATAAAATCTCAAACTTTAAGATACATCAAATATAATCGCCCGTTTCGAGGACAGATTGATAAAATAGATCCCAAAGATCGGACAGATAATTTTTCGACTCAAAAGATATAATAAAACGAAAAGAAATATAATAAAACGATCGTATATTCGATTTTCATTAAATATTTACAAGCATAAAACATCAATTTTACTAAACAGCAAAATAATCACATAGGAGACGAAATATTGAGTTATTGGACCATTTCCGAGAAAGTATATTTCCGCGATTTTTCGCGCTAATATACATTCTACATTTTACAGTAATTCCCATCTTTAGGTTGGTAGTACACTACATAAAAACGCGTTTTTTACTAACATTTTCATGTTATTCAATTTATCAACTGAAGCTAAATAATATAAGAACAACACAAGAATGATGTAAAAATTTCGTATTTCCAGCAGTGTCTAGGCAAGATTTAGCTTTATTAATAAAAAAATAGATTACAAACTTTTGAAAAAAGCGTAAAATAATCTGATATTTAATCGTATAGTATTGAATGTAAGATTATTTTATATTATATCTATTTTTTCATAAAAATATTAAAATTCTACCTTTTCTGTTTTTAGGTAAGCACAAAATAATCTTGAAAATATAATTTCTCGGAAAATGAATATATTTATTAAATCATTTCAGTAACACTGTAATAGGTAGGAATGCCATCAAAAATTTCAAAAAAAAAGTTCAAAACAATTATAATTATCAAAATATGAGCAGCAAATTTAGCTAGTAAAAAATTTAAAACAGCCAAGGATAAACCGCACATAAATAATTGATATTTCTACGGCCCATCCATGGGGAATAGATAAAAATTTCAACCAGTTTCCGTGAAGAATTAAGAAAAGCCCTTAAATGTCCAATTTGAGTCAACCCGCCGCCATCTTTTGTCCATTCTAGACAGTCGGATAGCTGGCTTGGGTAGCAATTCCGCACATGTTGTTGGAGTTACGCGCCATCATGATGTAGCCATCCATTCCCCACATTTCACCCCAGCTGCAAAAATGGAAATATATGTTAGTACTATTAATTACTTTTTATATCAGTCAATTGGGGGAAAGAGATGAAATCGAATTGTTCATGTCGTCATAGAGGTATACTAGATTTGCACTACGCATGAAATGAAACATAATATATCATTGGAAGTTAATTCAAATATACATCTATATTTATTGAACACTAGTTAGACCTAAGCGCTAAGCTCTAGTTGTTGGTGTTGATAGGTTAAATCGTTTTTTTTTCGCAACGAATGGACGAATCGATTTCGAATATTCAGTATGTGAAGATGGGAAACTTCATAATATTTTTATTAATTATCCCCGAGTGCTGCAAGTGCTTATGCGTCATGTTAATTCCAATTCCCACCTACCCAATCTCAACTTTTGTTTCGATTTTTAAGGTATACGCGATGGCGCTCAAGAAGTGTGTGTACCAATATGGAAGTAACTAATTGTGTTGACCTGCTTTACATCAAGTTGTGTAAAGGGACTGAAACCTATGGGCAGGGGTATATTCACTTGGCTAACACAGACAGTCCCCGAACTCGTAATAGAACAAAAATAAGGAAAATCGGGATAAAATTATGCGAAAACCCTAACCTGGTACACACACTACGGGTACCTACGCGAGGGATTAGACATATCACAGTTGGTTTAAACACTAACGCAATTATTTACATGCCGTAAAACCCTACAACAACTCACAAGAACAATTTTGAGTGAGTGCGCATAGCCTTTGGCGTTCCTGTAACTTTGCTCAGAGATGAGTTTTCTTTACTTCCGAGTAAGTACCCGTATTTTTGCTCAGAGACGAGTCTCCTTTACTTCTAAGTAAGTCCCTGAAATTTTGCTCACAGTATATCCGTCTTCACTTCTGAGTGAGTGGCCGTGAATTTGCTCAGAGATGAGTTTCCTTTACGTTTAAGCGAGTTTCCCTAACTTTGCTCAAATGATTCCTTTTACTTTTAGATGAGTGCACGTGACTTTAAGTAAATTCGTTTCCAATGTTTACCTGTTCTTAACCAGCCAGTAGTCTTTTCCCATCTCAGTACCGTAACCAACTGCCAATACACCGTGATCAAGCTTGGTTGAGCTGCATTCCATGCTGGTGTAAACGCCTGAAGAATAAAACCTAAAATTGACTTTAGATTGGGATCGAACGTGTCTAAGTTGTAACATTGCTATACGCCTTACATGAGCAAACTATGGCCCGCGGGCCAAATCCGGCCCGTTGGGTAGTTCAATCTGGCCCGCCTGATGCTGCCACAATCAAATTAAAACCAAATTTCGATGTTAACCTATGAAATAGCAGAAGGAATTTGTCGAAATTGCGATTAAATTTAGTTTTGTCACGAGGCTCATACACTTTTGTAACACTGTAAATATTTTTCACAAAATGTAACGTTTTACGTCACACTTACATGGTCCGCCAGTAGAGGTGGGTAAAATTTTGGCTCTTGTCCAAAAAACGCGCCCACCCCTGTTCTACGCCCTCATTCCGAAAACGGCTTCACTTGGTCCCCGACCCGGTTTATTGTTCTTGGGGCAGAAATTCTGCTTTGTGTTTGCTGCAGTATTACTATTATTCTTAGTTATTGGTTATTCCTTTAATTCTTTTTATACACAAATTGTGAACTATGTAAATTCACTGTGATTTATTTAATTCTTCAACTGTTATGAATTTATTTTTAATTCTGCTCTCATTTGTTGGCTTTTCATTTTTAAACGTGACGCGGCGCATAAAAATGATGAAAATGACGTGTTTTATTGAAGTCACTGAAATGTAAGGACCCATATTTGGCGAAGGTCTGTTTTCTTCCTAATTCGAAAACTAGAATTTGGTTGGAAACCGAAGACTTATCGATCGAAGGTTAGGGGATCCCCCGAAACAGTGGTCTTACTCCATACTGACACCATGTGTCCCATCACTAATTAATTAATAACTCGCGACGACATAATCCATCCAAAATGAATAGGCTTCTGATCCGAGCTGAGATGAATGCACATGCAAAATTTGGAGCAGATTGAACCTCGCTTTCGTGAGATATCGCGTGCATCTAACACACAGACATACAGACATACAGACAGACAAATACCTATCAACATACTTACCGATCAAGATCGATAAGTAACAAATTAGGGAAGCGGTGCCGTTTCATAAAGATTCCATTCCTCTCAATAAATAATAGCTTCTCACCAGTAGATAAATTAACACAACCTTGCTAACTGTGAAAGGCGTAAAAAAAGTCGTCGTATAAAAATAAAAAGGAACTTGCCAGATTTATATAACTGGAACGAAGAGTGTCCAGCATCAATGGCGACAGAAATTGGTCCGACTCGCATTACTGCGCTCTTCAAAGACATCTCGTCACCGTGAGCAATGTCGACACATCCAGTAATGGTGGCACCGATGTTCATTTTGTTGAATTTGCACATCGCTTCGTCCTGAAATGAAAATTAAAGATCAAAATTATTCGTCCGGGTAGTTTGCTAGTAAAAGGAAAGGTAAAATCAGTTTTGAGGCTGACATGGTGACACCCCCCCCCCCCTCAATTACTCTGATGTCCTCTTGATGGGCCCGCGGTTGAGAACCCCTGGTATAGAGGTATTTTTAAACAAAATAGAAACTCGGTACACTGTTGCAGTAGACATATTTCAGTGGGGTATTGTTAACAGCCCTATAAGAAGCGAAAATTATCTTTTTTAAAAATTCACTTTTGTCATGTATGGGGTAAGATGCCTCCGTATCAACACCACTATTCATTATAATGTACAGGGTGTTAGAAGAGTAACGCAAATTAACATAAGTTAAGATGAAATGGTACTTAAAACATTTAACGACAAACATCTTTTAACAGTATTGAATTACGGTGAAATGCCATTCTAAATATTTAACGAAAGACAACTTTTAGCACTATTGGATTACGGTGAAATGCCATTCTAAACATTTAAGGACTGACACATTTTAACATTATTGAATTACGGTGGAATGCCATGCAAACATCTTCCGCTTTTTTAACAGTTCCTTTTTTAACTTTGTCATGACAAAAAAATTTACCCTAATTCTGTGTAACTTTTTAAATACCCTGTATTTGAAGTCGTTGTCAATAAGTCCACCATGGCAGCCGTGGTATATACAGAGCAGGAGTGTACCTTATTTTCTCATCATATAATCAACTTCCGAAATCTAGTAGGGCCACACAAAAATTTAGGCATCAGGCAGAACGGAGAAAAATTGAACGGAGCGTCAAGAGCCAAAAAACGTTGTGTATTTTCAACCACGAAATTGCCCATTTGAACATAAACTGTTGGATTAGGATTTTGATGGAGACAAATTGAGTGTTGACAAGGGCATAAAAGGCTTGGCAGGCGGGTTGTTTTGGGAGTCGGACCATCCCCCCTCCCCCCTTGAAAATTTTTTAGCTACGCCCCTGGGGCCACCTGTTGCACACCCCTGATACAGAGCCTCGTTAAACAAGAAAAATTCCTCCTAAAAAAAACACACCTTGGCCATATAAGGGTAGGACTCTTCGGTATCAATGCCACCGTTCATGACGATGTATTTGAAGCCGAAGTCCATAAGTCCACCATGGCAGCTGTGGTCACCTTCTGGGGTGCTGCAGTCCATCAAGTTCTGTTCGCTGAGAGAGACAAGCTTTCCAGTCTTCTTGAAGTGCTGGCCTTCGACTGACCCAGTCTGTAAAGGTAAATTGAATAATATTGAGATTCTAGTACATGATGCGCGTTTTTTTAATTCTATTTAAGTATGTTTATTATATGAAAGTTTTGGCTTGTGTGATGCGTTGTGGTCAACTCAATTATATAGGCATCGCGTCAGAAAGGTTTCGGGTTAAAGTATCATATCGCTCTCCCAGCCTATACCGAATAACTTTGCGTATGTTGTATAATTTTTTTTTTGTTGCAATGCTCGTTTACTGGTCGGGGAAATAATAAATCCTTTCTCTATCGCTCTCTTGTTCAAATTCTTGTTTGGAACGTACTATAACCGCTCAATAATACGATAGATAGATACCTATGATAATGAAGTAGAGGAGCGGACTGATATCTGGGAAAATGATTTTTAAAGTAGTATTCCTACAAAAAGTTATGTGAGCGTATTACCTGGGGTTTTTACCCGGAGGGGGGATTTCCCATAGGAGTTGATTTTTAAAGTCATCTAGTATAATGACAGTGAAATTCCTGCAAAAGTTATGTCAGCGTATAACTCTTTTTTTACCGAGAGGGGGGGGGGGAATTTCCCATAGGAGATGAACTTGACTTGTCGCGTGATTTGTTGCAATTATGTGGGAAAATGGTATTATAGTTTAAATTATAGTTTCGAATTAATGAATTTCCGAACTCTACTAGGAATGGTAATATTATGTAACTAGATGAAAGCGAATTGTAAACACTGACTTACAGTACTGAACGCCCAGCAAGAGCCGCATTTCAATTGGTTCTTGACGGGTGTGACGTAGCCTTTGGTTCTCCAATCAACGGTATCATCAGCTCTTGGATCGCTCATTTCATACGTCATGTTGCAGTAACTCATCTGATTGGCTGGTCTAGTCACGTGACTGAGAACAAGGCTCCGCCATTCGTCTTCGTCCTAGAAATTTGAAAATCATCGAAGTCTTTACAGTTTTTAATTTCAAGATAATTTGCTCGAAGCAAGGTTACCCACACTCAGAAATAAAAGACATCCATGTCTGATTAAAGTTACGGGCGATCACTGAATGAAGATTTTGTATGTTTACGCACACGCAGAGTTATCGCGGATTTGAAATGCTAATAGCTATGTGCAATCACTCAGACGTGAAGAAGACTCATCTCTGAATATTCGAACCGAACTAAGGTCGAATCTCATCTCAGCAAATTGTTCCATATTCTATTGAGTTAATTATTCGAACTGAGCCAAATTCGATCGAATTTAGGCATATCAGTGAATTATTTTATATTCTATTATGTTCGATAATTTGAACCGGATTTGACTTCACTATATCAGCGAACTCATATATATTCTATATTCTATTTTTTCGATAATCCGAACCCAACTCGAACTAACCATATCGGCGAATTGATTCATTCCAAGTCTGAAGGTATGGATTCCATTATCTGCTTCCATGTTATGTTCTACAACCTTCTTCAAATTCTTTTCCCAGATATATTGTCTTTGTTTTCTTCTTCGTACGAGTACGATTTTCCTAAACGAAAACATGGATGACGTCATAAGATATCTTCAATGACGTCAATATATATATATGACATATTAATGTAATAATTTTGCAAGATTTTGATTCCCTCGTTCTTTAAAATACGATTTTCCTGTAGCGAAAAATTTGATGACGTCATAGAAAAATGTTGGTGACGGTGGTGTATTAATTTCTGAACAATTGTGATTCCCATGTTATCTTTACAACAGCAAAAGTATTTATGACGTCATAGTATGAAGTTTAGACGAAGACTTATTGGGTCATTATTTCTTTATTTCGATATTCACCCCGAATAGAGCCTTCTCAAGCAGAAACTAATATGTATGGATCTACTTTAGTTATGAAACCACTGTAATACGGCTAATCAAATTGTCGATTGGGACCACACATATTCCTTATTAGCAACCTTGCCGTTTAAGCCTAGCCTTGTCTTGAGTGAAGTGGCGGGCAAGATTCTGAACAAAAAAATTCAAACCAAGAAATCATCGTATTTAGGTTCAACCTATTTACAATACATATAAACGCAAAGAAATTCATTTACGACAAAACCCATAACGATACATTAAAAAATAAATTGAAAATTTAGCGTTCACTTACCATGTTCAGATTTCCATAATTCCCACGTTCGTCTGAAAAAAACTGTTTGCCGCGACCGCAGCAAAACAGATCGCGAAAAGAAAAATTCGATGCATTTTTTCTTCTTCTATGTTTCCTACTTTTCTTTTTTTGTGAGAATCGGAGTGAAAATTTAATCTCTAGCTTCTTCTTCTTTTTTTGACGCCGAGCAAATGGGGTTTCTCATCTACTCGAAAATGGCGCAAACTTTATCAACGAAAATAAATTATCAGTAATCTTTATCAAACTCGCTAATAGTCGGAAGGATTTCAGTTTGATTGAATCTTTTCTACGACCAAGTAAACCGTTGTCTACTCTAGAGCCTTTGTAAAAGAAAAAAAAAGGAAATATTTTTCTACTAATCATTGACTGCTTGCAGAGACTTGTTCAGAAATATATCTTAGAATAAATCTTGTAAATAATTCATTGGTTTTTGACAATTGAATTCACAATTTGAAATTTTTGAAAATTATTTTTTCAAGTTTGTGTAAGACCCCACGCAACCCCACAAGCATTTGAAAAAGTGATTTTTTCTTGTCATTTTGACCACCTCCATCCCCCCACTACAGATTTAAAAAAAATGATAAGCAAATTATAAAAATGATAAATATGTGTTTGATAAGCGCAGAATATTTTCAAAATTTAGTAAAAAAAAAGATACTTTTTAGCGCACAGCCGCAAAACTATAAAAACATGTTACTGCATTTTCAACAACATCATCTAAGCCATAGGTTCTCAAAGTGCTCCGTACGGAGCTCCGCGAAAGAAGCCTAGGGGCTCCGCGAGCTGTTTGATTACTTTTCAAAAGACTGACTTGGTTAATTTTGTAACTGTCTGATGCGAGCATTTGAAATGTCTTGTCATAATAATTTAATTGTGCGCATCGTTACTCACGTCGATTCAAGATTACTTCGTGGATAACTTGAATAAAAGATTAGTATTCTAAAATAACATAAAATAACTGCCAACTATAAATAAATTGAAACCGTATTTTTTGCGATCTTGGGATTTGGTAAACTTGATTTGTTCTTCGCACTAAAGATTATTTTTGAGCAAGATATCGCCGTTACAAAAATCCCCAGGTCGACTTTAAAACTCAATGAGTACAATATAGAATTGTGCAATCCATGACCGATGCGGGCATATTTAAAATGACTTGTTTATTGGTATAATTGTGTTCAATGTAACCTGCGGTTGTGAAAATCATTACTTCTCAAATTACCACGGCAATCCGCGGACAGGAAATGGGAAACAAAGTTAAGTGAACGAAGTTCTTGTAGACTACCGTATATCCTGATCAGCGCTGTTATCATAAGAAATTATAAACAAAGTCATATTGCCCACAAAAGAACATGTTTATATAACTACTACCGGTGTCAGAAGTTTGATAAGATATTTCTGCACATCCCGATCAAATCATCATCGTAATCATGACTGATTGCGTGGCAGTGTGATAGATTATAGCGTTTAGCGAATTCGAGCTCTTCTTGCAACACTGACTCCAACCTATCGCAGGTCTGCCAATCCGATTCTTTGCAAGATATCACCGTACGAACGAATAAAATTTATGTTATTGCATGCGGCTCCGTTGGTAGTTTCAGAATGGAGAAAAGGTACATCGCGCGCACACTTGACTGTGTTTCGATTTCAGTTACTACGATGAATACCCAAAGAAAACCTGACATAACACCAGTATTGTCATTTACAATGTCTAAAAGAGCGTTTTAAATCTGTCGTGAGTATGCTGAAACAAAACTTATAGTGTTATCTTCCGTTTAATTTTAGTATTTCATAATGCCGCTTTTCAATCAAGAAATTGGGCTCCGTGTATAATTGTCAACCTCTTCACGGGCTCCGCAACACCAAAAGTTTGAGAACCCCTGACCTAAGCCATAAAACTCATATTTTCCCCAACACAAAAGCACTGCACATAGTTAAAATCCTAAACCATAACTAACGACCCTTAGACAAAGAATTGCCGTCTCTTAGTAATTTGGTGTCGCGTCGTGCCATCCCGTGCCGTATGCGACTTGATAAGAGGGTCGCGATGTTTTATTACCCGGTGCTAGTCGGGGAAAGGTTTTTATGCCGTTTTATCGCATTAAGTAGACTATTTGTGCGATGTTGGAACAAACAGTATCATGTGATGGGTTGATGTATACATACTTCGCAAATAACGTAAATTGAGATGAAATCTCAGGTATTTGGAGAAAAGAAGTTGCGTCGTAAGCATAAAAAACAGTTTTGCGAAGCGTTAATGCTACCTCAAATTGCGCTTCATTTGCTCCCTCTAACGGATCGTCTGAGGATTATTAGTATTCTAACCCAAAACAATTGTCAAATCATATTTTTTTAAACAGCTTGCTTCAAAGTGCAAACGTTTTACTGCTTACGCTTGTTTCGTGCCATTGACTAGAAAACCGTTCGCGCAAAAATGCTTTTAAATCTCATTACCCATGCTTATTTCAACCGTTTGTTTAGACTGGTGTTTTCCAGTAAACTGACCTTGAACATATTCCCTCTATGCGGCTTGCTTCTAAGTGCACGAGAGTTTCCGACAAAATAAACTGTTGCGAACGCTAACACTGTCAAAAATAACGGTAATTTAAGACGAAATTTTACGTTTTTGAAGAGAAAGAACTGGCTGATCTGGTTCTTTGTCATTGACGGGAAAACCAGGAGCCGCGAAATTTTACCTTTATCACAACTCAAGAGTTTTAGCGTCATTTGGAGACAGAAGTGCCTGTGATGGTTTGGGTCATTCGCAAGAAATCTCATTTGCGTGAAAGTCACTTTTGCCACAGCTCGAATCCAGCGATAGTATTGCGATAATTGGAGTCATTGGTGGGGAAATCACTTGCGCGAATGTTACTACAAATCTCACCTACTATAGCAAACCATTTGTCCAAAGTAGAGTTTTATATCTTTCCGAAATATATTATGCGCCCTCATTTACTTTAATAGCAGTTTGCTTCAAATTAAGATTTTCGCACAAAAGGACTGTTTGCGAGTATTTACTATAATGTGACAGGATTTATGAAAACTGTAATTTTGATCAAGTTTATTTAATAAAAGTATTCTAACCCAGAACATACTGTCTAATCGGTAAGAAAATACCGTCGATTATTCCTCCTAAGCGGTATTCTTCAAAGCGCAAACGCATCATGTGATATGATTCATGGACATTATGAAAAATCAATACAAAAATAGCTCTGAATTTTCACGAGTTTTTCCTCGACAATTTAATCCCATTGAACCAGTTCAAATTATCTAAAGGTTAATGATTTATAGGAACATCAGTGACAGTTTATTTTTCTTAAAACATACTCAGAAATCAAACTTTATCCAGACTTTGTATGGTGATTAGGCAATTAAATCACGTGAAGGCAAAAAATTGTTTAATTTCTTTTTTTGGTATTCAAAATAATGCAAGATGTGCATATTTTAGAAAGTTATCTCTGGGCCTAGCACGAGACAAACGTAATTTTTTAAAGAATCTTATATTTTTATCATATCCTATTTTATATTTATCTATCTTCTATATCTGACCGGGTTCTGTTTTGTGCAATCCATTTAAATGCCTTTGCAAACGTTGCGATATTGATTGTAATAACGACATAAGTGGTGGTAAGCCGATGTAGCTCTGTGAAGCCGAATAAATTCATGTTAAAACTTTTTTCAATAGCAAATGGCACTTAGACAATTGAAAAAAAAAATAAAAATACGGTGTGAGCCCCTTAACCCCGGATTTCAAGGTAATTCACGGGCCATCGTAGTCTGAAACGATCAGCAATTAAGTCTCACTATGTATTACTGCATGACGTGTCCGAGTCATTGATAAATGGTGACTCAAGTTCATCTCAAGTCTAGTGAATGGCTGCTGTCTACGTGAAGAAATATTTCACTCCCAAATTATAGTTAACACTACATTTTTCTTAACAGTCAGTCGTCCTGTTTTCTTAATTTAACTGATTCGGCAAAATACCTTATTTGAAAACAAATATCGTGTCGAACAAAGGTTGACTCGCTGTGTTTACCCAATGCATTGATGACATTTTAATTGAGCCCCGTGATTCAAAAGGGGGCGTATACATGACGCTAATATGACTCTGAAACAAGGAAGCATCGCTCAAATTTGAGGTCTTCAAAGTCCCGCATCTGCACCCGTACTGTAAGGCCTTAGCTGAGTTTTCTGAAAAGATCGGTTGAAATTGTGATGTTTACTCCTCTAGCTGATACTATTCCCCCCCCCCCCTCCCACTTGATCACACACCTACTTGAGAATGCCTGGCTGCGCCCCTCGTCGCAATTCAATAACCAGTTTAGGTTCCCCGCGGAAT